GGGCAGGAGGGGGGTGTCATGGGGCATGGGCAGGCCTACAACCCGGGGCATGGGCAGGGGTGTTACATCGGGCAATGCTACATCGTAGCAATAAAAAAAAAAATGAAGAAAGAAAAAAAAAAGAGCCGTCTATGTGAGAGAGCGCGCGGTGGAGAAAGGTAACGGGAAAGCTACTTGTTAAAGATATTTCATAGATACGCCAAAAATTCTAATACCCGACAGGGCGAAGCTTCTTATTACTTCTGAAGAGTGCGTGCCATAAGCCGGCAGCTACGGCTTCAGGGGACTAAGCGCTCCGAAGAGACGTTTCTGGGGGGGCGCGGGCGGCGCGGAATCCCCCCCCTCTTCACGGCGCGCCCGGCCCTCCGTGCGTGCGCGGGAGCCGGTGTCTGTCCCGGGCTCTCCTCCTGCCTTCTGGATCTCAGCTCCTGGTCCGTAAAAACCACGGAAATTATCGGAAGCGGAGGGTAAGGGCAGGGTCATCTTTAACGTGCGAGGATGTAAACGTAAAGCTGAAGACTCGCATCAGTCTCCATCGCGCCACTGCTTTTACTGTGGGGTTGGTGTTTTTTTTTTTCTCAGATATAGACAAATGCTCCATCTGTTGAATGCAGACGCTACAATGCGGAACATTTTGATCTCTGTGAATACATTTAAGGACAAATACACATGCCACACGTAGCAGGAACGCACTCCGCGAATGGTAGATTCTGCTAGCGGGGATGTTTCTCCTCACTGCAGAAAGTTTCCTTTCCAACTCAAAGAGCGGTGACAGGTGCTGTTTTCCTCCGGTACCCTCTGTGCCTATCTGTGCAACTGAATAGATGCCACAGAAACAGGGAACAGGCAGACATTTCAAAATCCTGCCGCAAGGAACACTCGATGAGAAAAGTTTAATTAACCAAATACCTTCTTCCCCGAATCAACTTTTGCAGCACAACAGAATTTAAATTTGAATGCTGTTTTGGTTTATGGTGAAATAAATACATGCAGAAATAAAGTTGAATACATTCTGGTGGTATTAGGTATGTTTTAAGAACACTCATTTTTGCGTACACTTGGGAACATATCTTTCTGTCCTACTCAGACAGAATTTAGAAAGAAACAAACAAACCAACCAACCCCCCAAAGCATGTTCATCACTTTGTATGGGCTGTGCTAGTCTGCCAAAAAGTTTCAGCTATCGCTCATCTGCCTTAGCACGGAGGTTAGATTAGATTGCCACTCACACTCCCCTCTAGTCCCATTTTCTATTATTTCCATGATGTAGAAAGACCAATCTGCAGCTGATTTTGCTCTGTGGGTGTTCTGCAGTTCAGAAAGCTCTGTGAATGAGAATCATATTTCATAGATATTTTCTAGTGCCTACTCTCTGTCACAGATTTCTTCAATAGTGTAATTGCCCATATTCTTATGTAACTGGAATTTATAGGAATGAAGTTTTATTTTTTCCTCAAGGAGAGAGTAATTGCTATTTTTTCTGCCATTAAAATCTGTGATGACCTGATTGTTCCTTTTTTTTTTTTTTTTTTTTTTTATGCCGAGATACTAATTATTAGTGATTTCAAGAGGATGAACGTATGGTATGTTATGGGCCATAATCTTTTTTATCACTGCTCTGTTTTCACCTTTTCTTTTTCTTCCCCCCCCCCCCCCCCCCCCCCCCCTCTTTTTTGACAAGGCAGAAACTTCAGTGTTAAAAATCTTTGCTTTCTTATCACGTTGAATGTTCCTGACATACTATCTTCAAGTCCCCTGGATCAGGCACAACTGAGTTTGGACAATTATATTTTTTTCTCAGTAAAACTGAACTGTCTTCTGTTTCTCCAATGCTCCTTTACCTACTTTTTCTACCTCTTCCCTACATCTGCAGCTTCTACTGCTCCATTAAGCATTGCATACCAGGAATTTTAACCCTTTCAACAATTAATTCCCTAAATCACCTTGACTTCCTTAAGTCATCTTCATATCACATTTCTCCTAATGAGAAATATACTGCAGAGAAGCTTTTATAATAAAAAAACCCCTCTTTGCAGATCTGTCTCTCTCTTTCTCTCCCTCTTTCTTCATAAATATTCTTCAGCTAAAGAAAACATTTATAACTATTCATTAGTGTCAGTCAGCTTGGGAAACTCAGTTTATCTTTACTTGCCCTCAACATGTGATTTAAACAGCCTGTCCAGGCCTATAAATCAGCTCCGTTCACAACCATGAGGCATCTGAAGATAATGAAACAATCAAGAAAATGGCAGATTCATGAAAGAACAGATATGCTGACCTCAGTTTACTTTGTCACTGGAACATAAAACTACCATCATACCATATGGATGACACCAAACACAAAAGCTGTAATCGCCAAACAGAAGAAGAAAACCATTCTGCTAATGATCCTGCAGGAGAAGGTACTGGAGACTATAATAAGGAACAGTCGATGTTCCAGTTAGCTGTCTTATGCCTTGGGAACAGAAATAAACAGTGAGAATGAATGGAAGGCAATTCAAGCTGTTCAATCCTGTCATTAAACATATTAATGTCTAAGAATGTTTTTGTGGATTTTTTAATGTTTTTTAGCCAAACCATGTGGTAGTTACAGAAATAACGGAAACTAGAAGAGGAATCATTCTGGTGGTGGTCAGCAAGACAAAATTTCATACAGCAAACTGGCCCAAGATGCTCACTCACAGTGTCAGATTTGAATTTAGGTGTGGTGATTAAGCTGCTTTGCCCCTACAACAGTTTGGCTATCAGCAGTTTAGGTTAATATGCTGGGCAGAAAACTGGTGACTTCAATTTCTATCATGTCAGCTCAAGGGACATTAAGCTCAAGCAAAGCAGCAGGACAGACAGGGAAGGGTATTCAAAGCACATTTAAAGCATAAAGCATAGGCAGACACTGCAGCCAAATTTCCCAGGCATTATTAGTTCTCAGCATCTCTGAACTTAAAATACATTTAGGGTTTTTATTCTGTTTGGTCAGGACAGTGATGCTCAAAAATTGATGGTGTATTCAACCGCTGAAAATCCCAGAGATCACCTGTGCTGCAGAGGATACCAGAAAAAAAAATCAGAAGTAAAATGGAGGTGATGCTTAACACATTGGATTATTCCTAAGTAAAACATTAAGCATCCTCTCAACTTCAAACCCAATCTACCCTTTAGTGATTTTTTAGATTTGTGAGGTTGTGCACTTTAAGGAAACCTTGAGGAGTAATTGAATAATATTCAAGAACTTAACTGCTGTAGAAAAAATCCAAACACATAAGCAACCACATTATTATCTGAATCAGAAATATTTCTTAATATGCAGCAAATCTGTGCCACGTTTTGAAAGGAGCTTCAAATCAGCAGAAACTTCTTGGACATCTAATGAGCTATTTCTTTATGTTTTAAAGTTCTGGAGTCTGAAACTGTGAAAGTGGCATTCTACATATGAGGTCTACATGCATGGCAGAGCTTTTTTTCTTGATGCTTTGACATTTCAAACAGCAACATCTCAGTGCTCCAGGGGATCATGATCCTCAAATCATAGAGAATTTTGAAGTATCATCTCAACAGAATGATCTGAAGTACCATTTCTTCTTTTGAATTCAATTTTTTTGTCCATTAAAGCACAGTCGTTCATTTTCAGGACTCTGAGATTCTCTAAACCTTTTCATGAGAAAACAGATTCTGTATTTCTATTACTATAAAGCAATACATCTTGTATGCATCTATGGTTAAAACCGCTAAAAATCTAAAGCTTTTGGTAATATATATATATATATATATGTAACTGGTTGGAAATTGTTTAGGAAAAGTAATTTTGAATAAAAAAGGCCATAAGGAACAATGTTCCCTCCTACTCCTAATTTCCATTTCCTTTTTTTTTTTTTGCTTTTACTGTAATCCTCCAATCTGAGAAAGCAAACAGTGCAGTTAGAAGTGCCACCACAGTGTGTCATGGGAGTTATGCTTTGGGCACCTCCTCCTTACTTTCATCTCTCAGCAATGCATTCCCAGGCCAGACTGCATCTTTCTCATTTCTCCCATTACACATTTTCTCCAAACACCTAAGTTAATCAATTTTTCATTTCTCTCCAGTGAGCTATGAATATTTTAATTTAAGTTTCAGGATATAATATATACAATGGACATGGGTGAAAAGCCTGATAGAACTTTGTTGAAGATTGCATATTCATGTAATCCACTGTTCATCAGAGT